AAAATAGGGGTAAAACCACTATCCACGGGAGTTTTCGGAAAGGCGAAAAACATATACACTTAGGTATTTTTGTATGCGGTACATGCGCTCCTCAGAAAGCCGCATAAAAAAAAGCCGCGTAAAAAAAGTTCTTTACTTTCATACAAAAACCGAGGATGCATTCCAGCATTTTCAAAAACCGCATAAATTCAGTTACTCAACACTTATTATTCCATGTAAAACTGAACATTAATCAAATAAATAAAATTTGATCTGTATTTTAACCAAAAACAAAAAAAAAAATGCCACAATAAATACTATATGAATTATGTAAGAATACAAAGACAAAATACTTATTTTATTAATATTTTATTATTTAAAAGCATTGTCTCTTACAAACAAAAAACATGTAATACAGAGAAAAGAGGGTTTGAAAAACCGCATAAATTCAAATCCGCAGAGAGACCTAAGTGTTTTTAATACTTGCGCCGGGTATTTAATGTTCTGCTTGGCCCGAACTTAGATTTTCTTATTTGTTATAAACAAAAATTGTATCAAATGAAACTGCAGTCATTTTCTCTCTTATGTGCATAATGCTTGTCACAAATACATATGTATGTTGTTTCGTGCTTATATGTACTTATGTATGTATGTATATGTAGGAAATTTTTTAGCAGCGCCACATCTTTATTGGAAAATTCCGAGAATCCAAAAAGCGCTACTGCTACAAGCTGACGGATAACGGTACATCGTTTATAGGTTTAAAAATATTTGCACAGGTGTACCGAATTCTTGCCGTTTTGAAACGCGCAAGACTTTTCTTTTAATATTCTCAACCAACTTCACTAACTTCAAACATTTCTTTTACCTTTTTAAGAAACAAAAATTTTGCTGCTAGTGAATGTGGTAGCAATATTTTAGTTAAATGTCATAAATTTGTTAAAAGTGAAATGGTCGGCAACAGCAACGAATGCCAATAAATGAAATTACCTACCATCTTTGTATCATAGTTAGTGATAAAACGATACGAGTACCGAGTAGAGAATATCGATACTTTTCATGAGTACTGAGTAGTATCGAGGACTCGATACTTTTTGACAAGTACTAAGTAAATATCGCGAATACCGAAAAGTATCGACGTTTTAAAAACTTGTTTAAGTAAATTTTTTTTTTCAATCACATTGAATAATGTTTAAAAATTACCCCATAATGTTTATTTACTTCAATACTGTCACTCTGGTGAGCTACTGGTAATCGCAATGAAATTTCTATACAACATAGAAGAAGAGGTAGCAGTCACATGGACATTTGGCTCGGTTAAAACTTCTTAAATAATTGGGAAACGAATCTCTTGTCATACCTTCGATAACACTGGCAAGAAAAAAGTAGTATTTTAACCAGACCCACACATCGACATGCATTGAGGTCCATTTGACTCGTACACCTCCTAAATTTGGAGTTAATTGCGGAAATTGTGAAAAAAGGCAAAAACGAGTCAAATGGGCCTCAGATTCGGATTCAGTTGGTCGAAATACGTGTCGGCAAGTGGGTATGGTTAAAAGCACACACCAATTTTTTCTTGCGCCAGTGTAAGGAATGGGTTAGGAGGGTGGTCTTCGGTTCGATAACTTGGAAATTCTCCAGAATAACGGAGCCTTCGTTTTCCAATGTATCCTACCTTGGTTTTAAATTCGAAATCCAGCCCGCTTTCGGAGAAAATTTTTGTGAAAGGGAGCTTTAAATTTTTTTTAGACAATGGCTTTAGTTGCCTTTAAAAGCGTCAAATAAGCCTTGTTGCAAGTTCTTTTCAAAAACTTCGTTATAAATGCTTGTTAGATCAGACTTCAGCTATTAAAAGCAATGTCTATTCAATTTACAAAAACAAAGAGGTCATATGTAGGTATATGTACACGAAGTAATCTGATTTTTGTTAACTTTTCGCGTTTGCCCTAACAATACTTGGAAGTACGAGTATTATCGATGGTTTTTTTTGCAAATATGAGTACTGGCATCGATTCTTTTTTAGAGTACTATTATAAATGAGTACTAGTATCGATAATTTCCCTGTAGTCAAATGTACTAGTTGTAAACTACTTCACAACTAGTATGAACCACATGCCCAACTAATCAGCCAACTATCTTTTTTCCATGCAACCAACTGGTATTTTTAACATGGGGATGTCCTACGAGATGGCAATTGTCAGATTTCGGTCAGAAATATACCAGTATCATACTAGTTGAAAATAGCCAGAAAAATACTAGTCCAATTATCGACCAAAACCACTACTTTCAAAAAAGTGAATTCATGAATATACTATAAAAATCTTTTGATTAAGTACACTTTAATATATCACACATTGTTATTTAGCAGCCTCAGATGTTCCAATAATTGGTGTAAATTTTTTTGACCATTAATTAAAAGCAAAACTAAATACATAAATATTTCCAACTTTCGATCATAAATTTAAATACATTTCTTATAAAAAGTAAAAGGTTTCAGGAACAATAAATACTAAATATTTATCTTTTTTAATAATATTGAATCTGCAAAGGAAAAAATTTTAGTTAAAAATAAAATTAATACATCAGTTAATACTTCAGTAATAAAATAAATTAAAATAAATTAAAATATTTTATATAGTATTAAAATAAATTAAATTCATTAACTTTGCACATTTCAGTCTTTTTAAAAATTTATAAGAGTAACTATTAATCGGTATTTAATCCACTAAACGGTTATCAAAAAAACATGCTTTAATTAATAGTCATTATGAATATTAATCATTATTTAACAGGCCTGGTATAATCAAATAAGTACTCAATTTAATGGTTTACAATATACCCAAATAAAAAAGTTATAATATTTTGTGTACTTTATCGTATTAAACTGTCGAAGTCAAATAAAACAGGGCATGAATAAATAGTTTTGTACTTGGTACAAGTTTGGTCATTTTCGAACTAGTTCGGTTTCTGTCAGGGAATTCTAGTTGTAAACTAGTATTTTTCCTGACTAGTTTGGGATTTCACTGCAGGGTTACTAAAAAGTTCTATCACTAATCATAGTTTCGTTTATATTCTTTATGGGAGTCTCATAGCGCACGTCTGGGATAAATCTCATAGCCTTATTTTGCATAACCTGTAGCTTATCTACTTGCGCTTCGTTAGCAATAAATAAAATTGTTGGGTAAATAATATATAAAATACGGCTCTTTAATAGATCTATAGATCATACTTTTGTATTTCTTGCTAATATGCCTGCCCGATCTTAGCAATTTATCCAACTATATAGTCAATGTGGTCATTCAACTCCAATTGATCGTCAATTTGAATGCCTAAGTACTTAAATAATTATGCTCACTTCCTCAATGTTAATTCCCATCATTTTTAGATCAAGTTTTCGGGTTTCTTTATTTAATGTTCTAGAAATAGTCAATTAGAAAATTAGTTTTGTTAACCAATTTATAAGTTTTCTGGTGTTTTTAAGAGCTATGTTTAATTTTTTCATAATCAACAGAAGATGCGAAAATTATGACGCAAAAAGTGAAGAAATAAAGGTTTCGCATTTATGTATGCACACAAAATGCCTTCCAAATTATTTCCTCTGCCGAGACAATGCCAATAATAGTAATAAAAAAAAAACACTAATTCGGAAAAATGCATTTTCTCTAACCAGCAGTGATGCTCATCGTCATATTGAAAGTTTTAGCGTCCAAGTTGTTACGGTCGAAGTATTTGCGAGGCAAACGAACTGCCGTTTGTCGTGAAAAGGCATTTTTCATTAAATGCAGCGATTGCAGCTTTTCCAGTAGCGGAGGCAATTGAGAAGCAGGTGGTTATAACTGCCGCCTCCATTTGTGATGCAAGCACTTAGAGCTTTTCTTCAAACTTCAATACATTGTTGAAGAAACAACACTTGTGAATATTTTCACTTTTAAAGGTCAAACGACATTACGATTTCGCTAGCGCATGTGGCCGGTATCCGCTTTTACTGTTTACTTGTTTACACTCAAGTGGCAAGTAAAACTTGTTTCTCGCTAAAACTTAGTTGCCTGCGGATGGATGACCGCCTCAGCTGGGATAGAAAATTGTTGACAATCTGCATGGCTGCCATATAATCGCGTGAAAAATAGGATATTCTTTGTTTGTTTATCGCTCGTTTGCTGGAAGAATGTCATAATTCCAAAAATCAAATAAGGAGTAAGTAAATATGGTCGAATTCAGAAGTGACATGGGCCATTTTGGAGTTTAACGTTAAACCCTACTCATAAACATGGATATAAGTTTCGTTAAACTCAATTTAAACACCACTTTTTAGGTGCATATGAGCATCCAACCCTACATATATTTTGATTAAACTTGGTCGTACTGAAAATCAAAACTAATGGTTCAAACCAGAAGATTGCCATCTCCCTTAAATTAAGTAACAAAAATAAATATTTGGCGGTAAAAGATTTTTCTAAGCATTTGGACAAGTTTTATTTATGAGAAGCTTTTTGATAGCAGAAATCTATGAAATGCGATGGACGGCGCAGGGCAAGGTAAGCGTGGAGTCTTGCGACGTCTACTACAGTTGTTCCGTAAAAGAGCGCAAATTCGGTCTTGGATTTGTGGGGGGAGGGAGATTCCGTCGTCGAGTACTGGCCTCCACTCTAGTTGACGAACGTCTAGCCATAATTTGCATCATATGTGCCGATGTCCCGATGGAAGAGAAGGACGAGGCATCCAATGATATCTTCTAGCAGCGCTTGGAGATAACATACGAGCGCTGCCCCGCTATCGGAAAATTCCGCCTCCATGACCAAACGTCCGATAACGGGCTGCTGCT